AAGTACTATAAATTGCTCCAAACCTTGCTCTGAAGTCAAATGACTTCCTCGACATTTTTATAATATCCCTTGGCAGTTTTGGTTCAAACTCCTGCTACATACATTTTGATGTATTGCAATGCATCCTCAACAGCTTTTCCTGCTGTACGTTGCTTCTAATTCAGGAAAAGGGTATTGGGATTGTAAGCTACCTTGTATCGAAGCGCAGATAGAACTGTTCAGCACCTTTGTTTATGACCGGAAAATGAGCGCGAGCGGCAGCTCTGTGAGGAATTCGCACCTCAGCCAGAGGGGACGAATGGCAATGATGCCTATGTCTGCGAACCGATTTGTATAAACATGTATTGTAGAGCAAAACGTAATAATCCAAAAAAAACTACCCATTCATTGAAGGAAGGAGTGACAAAAATTTCAGAGTTGTAAATTTATTCACGGGCAGTATTTGTGCGATAATTTTATTTTGTACTGTGATGTAATTCGGTTCACAGGCATGGGCATCATTGTCGTTCGTCCCCCCTGGGTGAGGTGCGAATTCTTTGCAGAACTGCCACTCGTGCTCATTTTCTAGTCATAAACAAAGGTTCCGGACAGTTCTATCTGAGCCTTGATACGAGGTAGCGTTCAATCTCAATACTTTTTCCTGAGTTGGAAGCAACGAACAGCAGTAAAAGTCGTTGAAAATGCATTGCCATACATCAAAATGTATGTAGCAGGAGTTTGAGCCAAAACTGCCAAGGGATATTTTAAAAATGTCAAGAAACAAGTCATGCTACTTCAGAGAAAGGTTTGGAACAATTTATAGTACTTCTAAAACTAAAAAGTACCTTTTAAAGAATAGCACGATAGGCAATCGGCTTTTGTTTTAAGAATTAGCAAACATTGAATTTACTTGCCCCGAAAATTCAAACTGGTGTCTCCTTCTACCCGATAGTAATTTATTCTTGAAATTCCAAACAATTTAACAGCTAAATTTTGAGCGACTTTTAGTTACGGACTTCTGCTCCAACGATTTTTCTGAAATTCCTCTGGCATATTTCAGGGGCGGATCTAGGGGGAGGGTGCAGGGGGTGCGCAGGGGGGGGGGGGGGGGGGGCGAGATGACCTGCGGTTTTCTAATATAACTGGTATTCTGCAAAAGAAAAAAACTATGTGGTTTATTGGTGTTGAAGTGGAGCAAGAGACGAGTGCACCCCCTCCTAAAAAAAATCCTGGATCCGCCCCTGTATTTATTATATCAATTAAAACTGATACCAGAAATTTCAGTAAAAAATATCAGCAAACTTTGTTTTTTACTAGACGCAATTTTCTTTGAATAGTAGGGTCCTTTTAGGCGCTAATTTAGCAAAATATATTTACCATCAACGAAATCGGAATATTTCGTACTATTGCCAAATGATATCTGCTGTTCATTGGAAAGTTTCTCAGCCATCGCATTAAAAACAAAAAAGTTATGACGAACACTTTTTCACAGCTAAATGCGCTTGTATTAATGACGGAGCCACCTTAAACCTTAACATTTAGAAACAGGAATTTGGAAAGTTAACGAAGGAGGACACGTAACAGAAAGCCGAGGTTTGTGTATGTGGACTTTAAAAAACGAGTGTGGCCTTGTTACACTGCAAAATCTGCGAAATGTGAGTAATGTTACTTTTAACGGAACTAATTGTATCAAGATTTAAACGCAAACGTAACACACTATTAATGTGAAATGCATCAAAACATTTGAATTAATTGGCCTTCGTTTGTCTAAAATTAAACTGCTCAGTCTCTATCTCTGCATATCTTCTGGTTAGAGACCAGATCAGAGGCTTCCAATGTAGATATTTATGAACTGAAATATTTTGACTGATATACACCATTTATATTCTTCATGGAGCAATAAACCAGAAATTACGATGAGAAGTATGTTTCATGAGAGACTTTTCCTGTTGCGGGAAAAGAAGCCAGGGCTATATGGGGCTTCAAGAAGGGAAAAGTCCTAGGGACGGCATAGGTCAAAAAACAGAAGCTCGATTTTTTTACTAACCCACAGAGAAGAACAGAAAATGTACCGCTTGAATCTATAAAATCCAGATTTTGGGCAGATTCTTCAGAATAAATCTTGAGCTTGGTTTACAATTGTGCCATAGTCATAAGAATTCGAATAGTAAAAATGAAGTGCAGGGAATTAGTTCGAGAAAAGCACAGGCAATTTCAATCTCCCTTGCAATATGTTGTTAGGATCTATTTCCTTGTTACTTAGGTTCGTGGATGAAGTATCTAAATGATGTAATTTCTGACGTTTACATCAGAAGACCGTTATGGTCTGCCTGGACGTTTGACTGGTTAAACTACATTAAGCAAAATTTAATCGAATAAATCAGTTTAAGGTGATGGGTATTATTTTCAAGTGTTTTCCTATTTTGCATCCGAAGATCATCTTTTTACATCATGTGACTTTTTGCATTGTTAGATTTCGATTTAATGAAAGAAGTTGATTGCTTAAAAAACCTATAAGAAGTTGTTACTGTTGGAGTTGATGTTACATTTTGAGTTCAAAGTTTTTGCATTTTATTTGCTTCTCTGGCAAAAATCTTGTGTTAAGTTCAAAAAATCCAAAATCCTACCGAAACTAACTGTTTCATATAACCCGTCGTAGTACATTTATGATTTCAGGTTATGTCTATGATAAACGATCTGCGAGATACATTTATTAGTAGCATTGATCACCTGGATTGGATGGACACTAATACAAAGACATATGCCAAAGAAAAGGTATTAAAACCACAACTTGTTGAGACAGTTCCATGTATTTCTAACTTTTGCGCATGATAGTGCCATCTCCTCTAAACAAAAAATATGGCACTAAAGTGTATAATTGTGATGTTATCCTAAACAACATTGGATAACGGGTGGGGGGAAACCGGGCATTCATTTGACCACCGTTTCCATTTTTGCCAGGATGACATGGGAAAATAAGTACTTTTGCAATGTGTCTCAACAGGTTTTGTCCGAGGTTGTAGCTTAAAACCCAGCGTCACCATACTGATTCTGACGAATAACTTGTTACCATCAATTCACTGTATACTTTCAGGCTGCTGCCATCAGGCAAAATATCGGTTACCCAGAGTATCTTAAAAATCAAAGCAAGTTAACAGCTCGATTTAAAGACGTAAGTAACTCGTTCATTAAAGAAAGTAGGTGATTCAGTATCTTTTTGTGTTTAGACGAGTCTCAGTCTCGGTTATTACTGACCCAATTTTGTTTAACACCCATTATCCAGTGGACCTTAGTTTTAGGTTCACGTTTCCTTGTCATTAATCTGTACCGAAACTTACTTTCTTCGTCATTTCCATTTTATTCTTGAATTTGCTTCCTTTCACTCCCTCCCAGTTGAACTAATTGAAAGTCAATTCATTATTGCATTTTGTTTTATCTTATTTCATGATAGTTTATTTACTGATGTTTTGCTTCAGCTTACAGTAACAAATGGATCTTATTTTAATAACGTGATAAACAATCGAGCATTTTCTGTCAAGGCCATGTTACAAGATCTACGCAAACCTGTTGACAAAGGAAGGTAGGAGTGTTTAAAGTATTAATCCACAAATAATTGCTTTGTCAAGCTTTCGACTGATTACTGGCTACTCCTACTATAAGACTCTTGCAGGTACTTGCCTTGTCGTTAGCTGACGTTATTTCATTTTAAAACATTGATTTTCTAGCCTTAACAAATGGAAAAACAAATCAGATAAATCATAAAAATTAATGTGAAATGTGCGCAGTGACACACCAAAGGAGCTTAGGCTTTAGAGTTGGTCATTGCCATTGCGAGTAGCACTAAATGGCGTACACGTTTACATAAAGCTACAAGAAACGTACAAAGAGGAAAGGAAACTTAAAAGTGCAAAACGTTGTTCTAACGATTGAATACAAAGAGAAATGATCATTGGTAGTTTGGAAAGAGAAGTCAGACCTTTTCTAGTGGGTATTTTTACAAAAACATAAAATTTATTTTGCCAATAGAAGTCGTTATAAGATAGAGTTTTCGGAGGGAATGGTTTCCCAAATTTTAGACCCAACAAAGCAAAAGTGGCAGCTCCATAATTATTGTAATGAAACAGCGTTAAAACATACAGCATTTAACTCATGTTTTCCGATTACACTTAGGTGGATGATTCACCCACATACGGTAAATGCCTTCTATGACAGAGTAACTAACAAAATCAGTGAGTATCTTATAAATAACAGTTGTATCCTATAGGATATAAGTAAAACAGCTATTGTAGATCGGTGACTGACTGACCAGACCTTGTGCGACAGTAACTGCAGAACCCCATATGCTCTACAATTTGACCTTTTTACTTTTGAGTTGAGGCGACATTTGTTATTTTCCTGTAATCCAATTGGTCAACTTTCTCGAAGAAGCCCCGGTACAGTATTCGCATTATACATACTATTTATATCTCAGAGAAAAAAAAGAACAACGGGCAAAAAAAAAAAAAAACGCTCAGTGAAACATTTTAAGAAGACGCAGAATGGTAAACCAAATAGTGAAAGAATCAAAAAGGGCGACCTTATGAAGTTTAAGGTAAAATGTCGTCTTTTAAAGGTGCCATTCAAAGTTCTACCAATTCATAATAAAGTGAGCTCGCAAATCACTTAGCAATTCATTTCAGGAATATGACAGTTTTCTGTTGATGTGGTGCCCAGTCATGGATCCATCGAAAAAACCCGCATCCAGAAATTGGTGAATCAATATTCGCCCTATTTGCTGGACATACCTGTATGGTCTTATATCCACTTGAGCTGTTACTTATTTAATGGACGTGTATGTTTAGTTCATTATTTACGCACTACATCTAGTTTTCTTTAGACTGTTTTCCTACTCATAGGCCTTGTCAGTTACTCCGCTCACATTGTGGATGGCTCCTCCAAAACATTCCATAGCTGGTATAGGATCAGTTTAATGGAGCCGAAACCAAGTGTGGAATTGCACACATCTTAGCACTAGTGTCCGTGGCCCTCAATACTCTTTTGTCATCAAGAAGGCGTTCTCTTGCCAAACGTTTGGCTTGGTCTACTGCATCTCCTATCGCCGTTGCCCTGCCGTCTATATCGGCGAAACAGGGCGTACTTTAAGACAACGTTTTGGCGAACACCTTCGGAGCATTGAAAAGAACTTGCGGGGGTTTCCTGTGGCTGAACATTTTAACACAGCTGCTCACTCAATCGACGACGCTTTGGTTCGAGGAATGATGCTCTCTGTAGATAACGCGCAACGGAAATGCGACTGATATTTCAGCTTGGCACCAGTCAGCCGCGCGGTTTAAACTCCGACTTCCGTTTCCTCTAGGCCGCGCGCAGAGCCGCGCGTGCACTACAAAGCCTTTAATTTTCATTTCTAATTTATGGCGTATATAAACCTTGCAACGGTTTCAACGAACTGGTAATTCCACTGATGAAGGGACAGGCCCGAAACGTTTGGAAAGGATAACTTCAACCTAAACATGGCACTTTTGTTCATGATTTCTTTATTTTTAATGAACATTTTTGTTACTTCTATTTTCTAAAGCGCTACGATACGAAATAACACCAGCCAGATTGAATTATCTTCCTTTTTTTACAGCGCAATTAGTTACGGTGGGATAGGAATTGTGGTTGCACATGAAATTACTCATGGATTTGATAGCAACGGTAGGTTCCAGACGTTACGAAATAGCACCTGCCGTTCATCTCCACCTGTCACGTTTGACCAGGCGTTGGTCTGCAATTTTTTCGGGCCCCTTTTTGCTTTAATCTAGCAAGAGTTTTAATTCGATGTTACATCACCTATTACTGTTAAATGTAGCTGAAGCGTTTTACCTAACAGTTACAGTGCGACTACTCGAACCTGGGCACTTCGCAGAAGATTATCCAATCACAACGTTTTTTGAAAACAAAAGATTCTCAAAACTTTTTTGCAAACGGACCAATAAAACTCGAGGATCAACTATGTAACCGTTGAAAACTTTAAAATCTTTGGAACCTACTCGACCTCTCAGGAAACAGCCCTCAAATTCACGAATGTTATTGGTCCGTTTGCAAAAAAAAACTTGAGAATCTTTTGTTTTCAAAAAAAGTTGTGATTGGATAATCTTCTCCCAGTTGCCCTGATTCGAGTAGTGGAACTGTAACTACCTAGCTAGGGGCCTCAATAACAAGTTCAACTTTTAGACCCTTGTTTAATCAAGAATAGCACGGTAAGCTCACTAAGGTAAGTTACAGGATGCGACGCCAGTATAAGATGATACTTTTAAAGGATTTCATGTGGGCAGAGTTTCAGACCTCAATATTTCTTATTTCAGGTCGAAAATACGATAAGGATGGCGACCTTGTCAACTGGTGGTCAAATTCATCAAATGAAGCATTTGAAAGAAAGTCAAAATGTTTTGTAGATCAGTACTCAAGTTATGAAGCTTACGGCCAAAAGGTAAATTCCGATAGCCAACTAACAGTACTTATGGTTATAGTGGAACAATTGCAAAATGACTGTTTCATTCTCTGACCTCTAAAAACTTTGTAATATACCTCAAGAGACGCTTCCGCCGTTTTGTTGGCATTTTTTCAGTTCCATCAAAAGCAGATGTGTGTCTCAGTATTGACCTATTATGCCACGGTCGCTTAAAACGGAAATCAGTCGATGGAAATTGGTTGGGACAGTTTTGGTTCAGTTTATTTACTGCTATCTGCCGTTGTTTCCGTCTATACAGTGGACTTCCTTGACGGACACCTCTGTAAAACGGACACCTAGAGTTGGTCCCTGTCTTTCTTTACTCCCTTTATTTGACTCTCTATAAGACGGACGGCCCTGTTAGGCGAACACTTAGTGCCGGTCCCAAAAGTGTCCGTGATAGAGAGAGTGTCCAGAAAATCAGTGTTGCTAAGAGACGCCGGTCCTAAGACTATCTTTAGCGCTCATGTACTCAACATTCTGGTCAGTAATATTTCTCTTTGCAGCTTAACGGTATTCAAACACTTGGAGAGAACATTGCGGACAACGGTGCGATCAAACAAGCTTTTAAGGTAAGTTATGATAAAACATGAAATACGACAAAATTCTCCGACCATGCTACTGGTGTGCAAGTAATCTACAACTCAATAATTTTGTTTTGTTTATAAAGGCCTATAAAGATTGGGTAAAAAGAAATGGAGAGGAACCTCAATTACCAGCTCTTAATTACACCAATGAACAACTCTTCTTTGTAAGCGCAGCCCAGGTACGTTGACTTGTTCATTTACACTAACGTTTCGTGTCAAGAATCTGATGTTGGTTGATGTATTAAGCTTAGCCTGAAAACTCGCAAATGCAAATTTACAAAGTTGATTATAAAGTTCAAAAAGCCTTCAATCCTACACGCGTATTATAATGATTAGGTTTGTTTTGATAGAAACCTCAGGGTTGAGTATCCTGGCCTTTGGTGGAATCGAGGCTGTAGATGTGATTGGCCTATTTATGTACTGGTGAAGTACCGCGTAATAACCAATGCTTAAATTTAAAAGTTTCTTCAAAGAATGACAAATATATTTCTAGGAAACGCTTTCCGTGGATATTTGAGGGAAAAATCTCGAAACTCGCGCACTTTTAGCACCTATGATATTCATAATCAAGGGCAAAATTGTTGGTAGCTTTAAAATTTATCAGTACAAGTGCCTCGTAACTTTTAAGTGACAATTCGTGCAATCCATACGAATAAAAAAACAAACTGGAAAAGACAAATTTAATTTTTTTACGTTAAAACCTTTCGGCAACTTTATTTAAACACAAAGCTTTAAAGCTTCTTTCTTATTTCACGTGAAGTGCCTCCCAGCCCCACCCCATCTTCTTCGTGATGAAGGCGCGCATGAGCGAAGAGCCCCACAGAGGAGCCCCGGGAGATTATTCTGCTGACATCAGCTAAATACAAAAAGTCACTCTCACTCTCCCTTTCAAGGAATATCAGTAGCACATTGTAGGTTTTGCCTAGCAGGTGTGCTGCCCGTATCGTTCTGGATATACATGTAGACCATATACTGAGCAAAAATATTTAACAGATTATTAAGCTTTCTTACTATTCAACAGGTGGATTGTGAGTCAATTCTTGCGCCTGTAGCTCTGACGAAAATTGAGCAAGCAACCCACACCTTAGGACACTGGAGGTAAAAATGTCAGCAAAACCCGCGTTCTAAGACATTAGGTTGGGTTTGGCCAACGTTTACAGTCCATCTAGCTGTTTTGTTTTTGCTCAGAAAGCCATAAACTAGGAAAAAATAGATCTTTATACTCAATTTTTTAAGTCTTAGTTCAAGTCAGGCTCCTGTTCAAACAATTTATCAAACAGTTCTTAAGTACCGGTTTTTCATATTCACTAACTGAACCTCGTTCGCATGGACTCTCCAGTCCCCTCACATCTACGGAAAGGCAAAAAGAAAGACCCCCCTTCCCCCCCCCCCCCCCCTATAAAACGAGGTGGAGATAGTAGTTGAGAAGAAGAAAAAACTGACATAGTATTTGTATTTCTCAGCAATTCAAAAATTAGTTGTTTTTGAACGAGGTATTTATTTAGATTTACCACTTTCAGAGTCATTGGAGAAATGTCAAATTCCAAAGAGTTCGCACGTGCTTTCAACTGTCCTGTTGGATCCAGAATGAATCCAGTTAACAAATGTTCGATTTGGTGAGTTGCTGCTGCACTTGCTTGACTGGGGCTGCAGTAACAAACTTTTAAAAGCCTGCCAGGCAGAGAGTCACCAAAGAAACCCCCGGAAGCGTCCGATGTTTGATTCTTCGAAGTACTTTATACTAAGACCGCAAGTTTTCCGAACCTTTAACAATCCAATATATATTATATACACTTATCTTTTGCTCCCGTTACAAGCTTATATACAAGTGCGAAAAGGCTTCAGTGTAATAATTTGAGTCTCTATAAGTGTTCTGTCACATTGAATGGATTGACTTTTACTGTTTCCAGCTTAGCCGAAATTAAGTAGTCATTAATTATTGATTTGCTTTTTCTAAAAATGTCATTCATTTTTCGTGGCACTTGAAAAAAATCCTGTAAATGCTCGAATTAGCGCCCCCATCCTCCATTTATAAACATGCCCATGTATTAGCACCTTCTCTAATGGTAAAATCAGGAAATAACTCTCTTGCTGTCCTGCTGTTTTTAGGTATAGCGATATTTAAAAAATAGTGCTTGCAATTAGATACTAGATTTGTATCACACTCGCACATACACACAGACATATATAGATTCCGCTTCAGTGAAATAAAAACAGCGTTATATTTAGATTGAAAAGCGCAAAACGCATTCTCTCTTCTAATCATTCTCATCATGTATTAGAGTACATGAATAAGCGATGCGGGCGATTATTCGAGGAGTCGGATGTAATTTGTGCGCGATGCCTAAGATAAAGCATCTGTCTACCGTCGATATATCGAAAACATTCCAAGCATAGTGAACAAATTGTTTATTATATATAAGGAAAATTCGCTGCTTTAAGCGTACATAACAGTAACCAAGGTTTAGCATAGCCGTGTTGAGCTGTGTCAGCGATGTTTAATTTACCAATTTAAAAGAAGAAGAAGAAGAGTCGTGGATGAGAGGACAACAAACGTGCCCTCTTTACAATACTTTAACATGTGAACAGCAAGCTCGGACGTCAGCGTACAAGGCGCCACTGGCAGCCGCTCTCAGTCCATTTAAGAGCTTACTGTACCAACCCAACCCGTGATGTGAATGATGTGACGTGTGAAGGTTGACCACAACACCGGGGTCTACGTCCCCTACTCTTTTCGAACAGTGGTGTGGGTTCTTTAACGTCCCACAAGAACCAGATAAGTGTAAGTGCTGTGAGACGGGACCTACGGTTTTTCGTCCTTATCCGAGAAGACTAGAAAGTCTAACCGTTTGCAGATGTCATTACAAAGGTAGCACTTTCTTCTCAGTTATTTTAAAGACCCTAAGTGATGGTCCGGCCGGGGTTCGAACCCGTGACCTCCCGCTCAGCAGACCGGCGCTCTCCCAACTGAGCTAACCAGGCGGCGGTTAAAAAATAAACAACTTTCTTGTAGTATAAATTTGTGGTGTCAAAGTCAAACTCCTTGGTTGAAATGTTTATCATAATTTAACGGTAACCCAAAAATAAGAACCTGCTTGATGTTGCTTGGCTAAACAGGTTCTTATATTTTGGAGCATTGAAATGGCAAATTTCTGGCAGCGGGTTCTGTAACCATAAGCCACGCGGGGTTTACTGTACCTTTTATAAGATTTAAAAT